ATATATATATATATATATATATATATATATATATATGTATGTTGTGATTCCGGCATCTGCTACAGGTTTTTTGAATGACAGCTCCAGCGAGGAGGACTTATATGAATCAGCAAGTTCTAACGATGAGGAGGAGATGAATGCATTTGATTTGCAAGATCGGCTTGAACCTTCAAACTCCTCCACCCTTCAATTAGGTGGTCAGCCGGGAACGGGTGATAATGAGGAACAAATGTTATCTTCAGGTGAAGAAGATGATAATTTGGATGATTGCTGGGTAGATGTCAGGACAAGACGTCTCCTGACAAGGAGGAACCAACGAGGTTACAGTAGGAGAGCAGACCAGCAATTAGACTAATTAGTTACTCTATAAAGGGAGAGATATGACTTTGCACTTTGTCCGGAACAAAGTGTCTATTTGCAAGAGAGAACTGAAGAGCACAGTTTGGAGGATTTTGATCTGAAATATCTTGTTGGGATTTGGATTTAATTCGTTGGAACTTCTACTTATTGGAATTATTTTGTGAAGGACTTTGATCTGAAGAATCTTGTTGAGTCTTGGATTTAGTTCGTTGGAACTTTTACTTATTGGAGCTATCTGTGAAAATTCCTGTTTGCTGCCTTTCTTTACAAGGACTGTTGCTTTCAGCCTTATCTGTTTACTTTAAAAGGTGGGACATAACATTTTCCTGTTTGCTGCCTTTCTTTACAAGGACTGCTGCTTTCAGCCTTAACTGTTTATTTTAGAAGGTGGGACATAACATATATATATATATATATGTGTGTGTGTGTGTGTGTGTGTGTGTGTGTGTGTGTGTGTGTAAATCTATAAAGTGAAACGTGGAAAGAACAACTAATTAAGACTAAAATCTATAGGAATCCTATAACTTTGACTTTACCTTTGTGATAGTTTATTTGTACTTAAGATACTTAGAAAATAAAGACCCACTCATTCTACGTAGTGACCTTAACAGGGAACCAATAGTCATTTCTTTATCAGAGGTTAACATATTCATAACACATTACAGAATATTCAATACAACAACATTATACAAATTTGGTTAGATTGCTGGTTGGTAGATTCATAAATTTGATTTTAGATATTACTATAAAGTATGCATTTTACATTGACTCATTTTGCTTGCATGACCTTTTACAATGCTGCTGAAATTGTTCATAACAAGCGCATTTGTAATAGTCAATATCTATTTGGTAGTAGCAATATATTCATTCTTGTTACCCCCCAAAATACTACTTACTGTATCTATAAATTAATGTACTTAACTAGATAGTCAAGATAGCTTTACCTTTGAGTTTCACATAGCACCATCTTTAATCAAATATTATATTTTTATTTTAAGTAGCATTATTTCTTTTATTAACTATGCTACTAGAAATATAAAATATGTTACTTCTATATAGCTGAAATCAAGATAAATTATACCAAGCATTATCCATTTGGATTTAATACAACTAAATTGTACAAGTTCCCACAGTGGCTAACAGGTCAGTAAGATCTGCTAATTAGAACAGAAGGTTCTCTAAGAATGCTTAGAGGGAAAGAGGCAAGACACTTGTTGCTGGATTAATTAGGCCCACAGCCAGGGGTGGGATTCTACCAGTTCGCACCTATTCGCTAGAACCGGTTGTTAACATTCTAAGCAGTTCAGAGAACCAGTTGTTAGAAGAAATTACTGGCCTAATCCTGTAAGGAAGGCAGGAAGGAAACATTCTGGTGTTGCTTACAGAAACTGCCTCTCCATTAACCCTTATTACATTCTTGGCAGGACTAGACTTCCTGTCTCAGGAACTTCTCCGGAGGTTTTTTCCCCTCCTTTGCTGGTACTTTGCTTGTGTGGAGTGACCATTTAAAGTTGTAATGGCACTGAAAAAAGTGACTTATGACCATTTTTCACACTTATGACTGTTGCAGCACACAGTCATGAGAGGCCAGGTGAGGAGATGCATGCCTCGATGTGAGTGATGTTGAGTTGGCCACACCCAGCCAATAACATGACCACCAAGCCATATCCACCCAGTCACATGACCACCAAGCCTCACCCACCAGCTAAGCCATGCCCACAGAACCGGTTGTTAAAATTTTTGAATCCCACCCCTGGCCACAGCTATTAATTTTTCATGCTCAACAGTGACTGACTCAGTCTGAATATGAACTCTTTCTAAAGTAGAATCAGCCATATGTTTGCCTAGCCCAAATTAATAGAATAGAATTAATAGAATAGAATAGAATTGAAGTCAATGCCCTATATCAGAAAGCAACATGCTAACTTTCCTGCCCCTTCTAGTCACATTACTTCTGGTGTAAAAAAAGAAGTCTACTCTATCCATAGTCCTCCCAAACATTAGATTTATAAAGACGAGGAAGGTCTATGTTTAGTTCTTCAATTACCAAGGATCCTCATGATCTAAAAAGAATCTCTTTTCATCAGATTAATGACTCCAATAATTGCTTCAAGATCACATGTTAAGTACTTGGCTGTTCCTCCTGTCCTCACCAGTTTTATTATGATGGATGTTATAGCAACCTGAGCACCCTAAATGCACATATCTGCAAAGGGGAAGACATAATGAGTACAGTGATACTTGGGTACTTGTCCTTAATTGGTTCCAGGAGAAGTGACAACTACTAAAAATGATGAGTACCAAAAAAAGTGTGACTTGCTACATGACCCTTTGGTTTGGCTTGAAAAGACTTCATATCTCTCCCTTTTCCATGCACCTTCAGAGCATGGCCAACTTCCTGTCTTCTCTCTGCATCTTTTCCCACTTCCTTTTGTAGCATGTCAAGTACCAGGACAATATTTTTGAATCAAAATGCATTGAGTACCAAATTTGATGAGTTTTCAAGCAGTCAAGTACCGAGGTGCTACTGTATGTTATTGGATTCACCATTACAGATTTTGAGTAACATTATCAGGAAATGTTTGCACATTAAGTCCACATAAGGATACCTCAGCAATGTGAAACCTCTCCTGACTAATTGAAAATGTCTTTCTTGCCCTGGAATAAATAGAACTAATTTCTTGAGAAGGAGATGAATGAATGATGCCATCCTCAAAACCTGCTTCAATTCATAATGAATCTACCTAATGTTTTACCTAATGTTTTCTGATTTCTGAAGCAAAAGTAGTGATGTGCTCTATTTAATTGAATGAAAATATTTCCTTTTCAATTGGTTATTGTCTAGTATACTCAGGATAACCCTTTGATATAGTTGGTTGTTGCTGCCCTTCAGTGATAATTTCATCCTGGACTGCTTGGCCATTTCTACAGGGGATAGGTCTACAAAAGGACTAGAATGTTTTTGTTCATTTGTTTTCATTACAGAATAAGCTCACCACTGGACTGGTGAAAGGCTGATAAAAGGTGTTTTTTTTTTTTTTTGCAAGGTCATTGATGAAATTTTTGACCTTTCCTTTCCTTTCCTTTCCTTTCCTTTCCTTTCCTTTCCTTTCCTTTCC